ATAAAATTTATATCAACATTTTTTATTTTTCATGATCTTTCAAATGAGACCAATATTGCATATGTAATTTTAACATATTATCGAACTATTATATTAACATATGTAAAATATGTAATTTTACGTGTAGAAATATGTAACTCACGTCTAGTCAGGCCAAATGCAACGCGTGTGTATAAATATGTAACTCTACGTGTAAAAATATGTAATTTTACGTGTAAAAATATGTAACTCGCGTTCAGACAGGTCAAATACAACTCGTATGTATAAATATGTAACTCGCGTGTATAAATATGTAACTGGGAAAACTGTCAATTACACCCTCGTACTATGGGCGAAACCGCAATTGAGCCCTTCTACTTTGATAACCTTCAATTGAATCCGCCAAGTCTCCAAAATCAATCAATTAGGTCTACATTACCGGTTGGTTCCCGGTTTGCCCGTTGCTTGCCTTCCTGACGCTGACGTGGACTTTGCCTATCGGTCTTTCAGTGCTGACTCACCTAAATCATTTTACTTCCACTATCCACACCGTGCCCTAACCTTCATTGACGACCTTAATTCGAAGCTCTGCGAGAAGATAAGCAACATAGCACTCCTCGACGCTGGTCATCCACTTCTCACCGTCCACGTGAAGAAGACAAACGCCATGTTAGTTTATAGTTGTAAGTCCACCGTATTTACATGAGGTTGGATATTTGTGTTCGTATTTGTCGCATGAATGTTGCTATTGTGATGATATTATTACGTGAAGCGATAGTCATTTGCACTTTAGAAACGTTCTTTTGAAGCGATAGTCATTCCCACACGAACAGGTTCTTCAAATTCAAAATCACTACCAATACAAGATTTGTTCGAAACATAACCTGCACAACCTACAGTATTATATATGCACTACCAATACGAACAACCTACATAACCTGCACAACCTACATAACCACAGCAAATGAAAAAATGTAAATTCTTTCGACGTTTTACCAGCCAATTTCGACACCCATAGAATTGTCTTCCGCTCTCCCTTCCCACGCACAGAGGCGCTTTCAATCCACACCAATAGTACACTGCAGGCTCGTAATTTGTAGTGCTTCTTCGCTCTTTTGTACTCGTTGCTGTAGACGAGGAGGCCATTGTTGGTCACGAGGTCGACGGTGAGAAGTGGATGACTATGTCGAGGAGTGCTATGTCGCAGAGCTTCGAATTAAGGTCGTCAATTAGGGCACGGTGTGGTGTTGATTGGGGGTGGATAGTGGAAGTAAAATGATTTAGGTGAGTCAGCACTGAAAGACCGATAGGCAAAGTCCACGTCAGCGCCAGGAAGGCAAGCAACGGGCTAACCGGGAATCAACCGGTAATGTAGACCTAATTGATTGATTTTGGAGATTTGGCGGATTCAATTGAAGGTTATCAAAGTAGAAGGGCTCAATTGCGGTTTCGCCCATAGTACGAGGGTGTAATTGACAGTTTTCCCATATGTAACTTTACGTGTAAAAATATGTAACTTTACGTGTAAAAATATGTAACTCGCGTTCAGACAGGTCAAATACAACTCGTGTGTATAAATATGTAATTTTACGTGTAAAAATATGTAACTTTACTATACGCATAAAAATATGTAACTCACATGTATAAATACACATTACAATAACTTTTTTATATAGACAATTTTAAGATAAATTGTGATTTACATAATTATTTTCTATATTAAATTTAGTTCGATTTTCCTTATAATCAAATACTCATTAATATAGTAGTTCGATAATTTCTTAAAATTACATAAGCAATATTGGTCTCATTTAAAAGATCATGAAAAATAAAAAATGTCGATATAAATTTTATAAAAATCGGATCAAAAATAAAAAAGTTATTACCATTTTTTAAAAACAAAAGGAAAAAAAATTAAAAATCCGTATACCGGTATACGGTGCTCGCCGTAGGGTCTTTTCTTAAACCACGGGAAAAGTGAACATGGAAGGCAAAAATACGAGAATTTCTAAGAATACGAAATTCGGAAACACATCTTCCGAATCTATGTCCATTCGGAAACACATGTTCCCAAACATTTTTTACTTTTTTTAATCCATTCAGAAACACATGTTCCGAAACATATTTTTTATACTTTTTTTTAATCCATTCGGAAGATTCTTTTACAAATCAACTTTCTTTAATTTTTTGTTATCCTATTCGGATCATGAAGTTTCAAATGCTACTTTAATTTTTATTTTTATTTTAGTCATACAACTTAAATTGATATAAACCTATTTTAATTAATAAATAAATTGGACCCAATTTCCCAAATGTGATGTCCGAATTAGTGGGGTTGGCTTTTTATTCATTTGGATTTCCAACTTCCGAATTGGAAGTGGTATTTTAAAAAAATAATCAGCTCTCATTCGGAATAGGAAGTTTCGAATCAAAATGTCAGGCACCCTAATTCATTCGGATTTGTGTATTCCGAATCCCGTGTTTTAGGAACTCCCGTCTATTTGCATCGCTTGTTCAAAATCCCCGTCTTTTTGTCATTCCCTCCTCACCGTATACCGGTCATATGGTATAATTTGCCCTGCCCTATACCCGATCCCCACTAACTTATTAGCTGGAATTGAAGGACAAGCTTTAACATTTACTGATGAACCAACATAGGCAAGCAACCAACCACAGCAAACTAAAGGTGTTGTCGCCGTGTAGCTGGGATTCTTATGGTCCACAAATGACTGGCCCCGTCTTTTTAACGGTCCATGAACAAAACTTTATCATCGGTGTATTGTAGAAAACAGAATGATATATTTCATGTCAAATTTATTTGCAAAATTTTTGGGTTCCCTCCTTAAGAGATGTTAATGAGAATTCTGGAATAATGCGGAGATGTTTAGAATTCTATATATGAGTCTAGAAAAGTATTTAATGTTTTAGAATATTCTGGATTTTTCTAAAGAGGTGTGAAACTACCTAGAAGCGTGTGGACGAGTATAGAATATTCTAAAACCTTGTGTAGTTTTTTAGAAAAGTGTGTGGAAGCATCTGGAACATTCCGAAGAGATGTAGAGCTATCTAGATCCTTCCAGAAGATTAGAGAGGCTTGTGCATAATTATTGGAAGACTTAAAAGTGTAAAAATGTATAGAGAATTCTAGAGAACTTTGAGAAGATTAGTATAAATAGGAGTGACATCTTCGGTGAGCCTAGAGAGGGCTTTGTGAGGGCATACTTAGGACTTGTTTGGCACTTAACGGATAGCGGTTAGCGGATTGAGTCAGCGGATTCTAAACAGCGGATTGAGTTAGCGGATTTGACCGGTGGATTAGTTTGGCGGGTTACAAAAAGATGTTTGGGAACTTAGCTATTCATTTTTAGCGGTTAATAGACAAAAGGACAAAAAAGATGTAAGATATATGCATGGTATAAACACTTTGCCATACTACCAGCACAAGTGACCACTTTAATCCTCTTATAAGGACACTAAGCACATTTAAAAAAGACCACGAAACACAACAATATAATGCTCTAGTAAAATTCTGCAGGTAGAGGCACAGTCGGCACGACACAATCCTACATAATTTTTTTTAAAGAAAAATCCGACATATGCGGTGAAACCAAAAAGAAAGAAAGAAGAGTGAGCATGGAGAGAATACGTGTCTAGATAAAACTTCCTTTCAGAGAGGAGGATCTGCGAATGTGAAAAGGAAGAATACGAAGGGTAAAGTTGTCGATTAAATGTTTGTTTAGATCCGCTAACCGGAAACGCTCTGTTTTGCAATGTTTTCCTTTTTGGCATTTTGGACCAAAACGCTCTACTAACCCGCCAATTGCCAAACACCTAATTTCAGCATTTTGACTTATTAAAAAAGCCAATTTTGATCAAACCCGTCAATTTTTGGCTGAAACGCCATTTACCAAACATGGCCTTAGCGAGTGAGAGAACTTAGTAAGCCTTGAGTGAGAGCCTCCTCAAGTGATGAGACAGAAAACCTTGAGGAGAGCTCTTTAGCTCTTTAGAGAAGGTGTGAGAGTAAAGTAGTCTCATATATAAAGAGTGATGTGAGCTTCAGTTTATTTGTAAAATATCTCTTGTACATTTCAATTGTATAATATAAAGTGATATTGTTAGATTGAGATTTTGTGTTACGACTTACGAGTGGATGGGTGAATGTACAAGAGTCATTTGAGCTTCGGATCCTGGAAGAGGTCGGGAATCATGTTTTCACCAACAAAAATTAACATTTTTTAGCAATTAAAATTGAATTCTCCATATTGATAATTAATTTAATTTTTGAAAATTAAAATTTTACACATTCACAAATTACACTAAAATTTCTTTAAAGTTACAAACTCCAAATTAGATTATAACTAAAGATTGGCATCCTAACTAAGTGAATAAAATGAATTTGTTTGCCCAAAAACAGTTAATTTTGCAAATCAATTTAGGTAAGAGGTAATACTCCCCCCGTAACTTAAAAACCTTCCCATTTTAAAAGTAGTTATATTAAGAATAGTGAAAGAGAATATAAATTATTGAGAGTATGATTGGAAAATAGTGGAATAATATGATGGAATGAAGGATAAATCCAAAAAAATAGTTATAATAGTGTATATTTTCAAAATTATTGAGAGTATGATGAGAAGATTTAGAAATGAGAAGATTTTTTCGTTACGGACCAAAAAGGAATGTGGAAAGTTTTTTTTGTTATGAAGGGAGTATTTGTTTAAAGTATTTAGTACGGATTATAATTTAAAACAAAACAAGGTAACGGAAAATTATTTATTACTCTAGTATATTCCCTCCGGTCCTAAATGAAATTCACACTTTGACTTCACATAAATTAAGGAAATAAATTTGACTTTACTGTAGAATACATTGGTGTGACACTGTTTGGAACTGTTTTGCACTGTTTTGATGTAGATAATTTGCCAAATAAGGAAGGGAGAAGAAGTGTGAATTTTATTTTGAACCTATCCAAACAGGAAAATGTGAATTTCATTTGGGACCGGAGGGAGTAATAAGAATCATTTTATAATGAGAAGTTATTTAAACAAAAGTGTGAGCTCGAATATCCAATCACCATAAAAAAGAATTGGGAAAACTGTCAAATAGGTCCCTGTACTATTGCCAAAAAGTCAATTGGGTCCTCGTACTTATTGGTGAGTCAATTAAGTCCACAAAGTATTAAAAAACACCCGATTATTCCATTTAGCCAGTTGGGAGCCGGTTAACGGTTAAACGTGTACACGTGGCGGTACACATGGATTTTTTCTTCCTTTTTTTGATTTTCTTTTCTTTTTTCCTCTGCTCTCTCTTTCTTTCTTCTTCCCCAGGCTTCTTCTTCCCCAGGCTTCTTCTTCCCTGTTCTTTACCCGCAAATATTTTTGCGAATTTTGCTTTCTTTATTTCTTGGTTTATATCTTATTCTATGTATTCCCACAAAAGAACATCAACCACTGCCGCTCAAGTCTTCCTCATCCGCAACTGGTGGTCAGCCTTCGTCCACAAAAACCCAACTTTTCTAACCGCCAGTTAGCCAGTAGATCTGAATTTCTCCAACCACCGTCATACGTCGCTCTTCACCCGTGATTTATTCAATCTGCCGCTCATCGTCCACAACCAAAGCTTACCTAGCCACCGCCGTACGTCGCCCGTCTCCCATGTCTTCCTCAATCCCCTCCTGTTGGCCACAACATCTCCATCCGCTGCCACCTGCCGCCCACTCAAAGAAAGACAATCGGGATTCGGGAAGAATGGAAGAAAGAAAGAAAAGAAAGTGGAAAAGAAAGAAATTGGAGGAGGGAAAAGAAAGTGCACGGGAAGAAGAAGAAGAAGAAGAAAGAAATAAAGAAAAACAGTCGTGGCAACTCCAAGGATAGGAAAAAGAAGTCAGGGGGAAGAATGAAAGAGAGACAGAGAAGAGGACAAAAAGAAAAAGGAAAAAATCAAAATTTTTGCCACATTGGCATTCACATCAGCTATTACCGGCAATATATATCTCCAACCGGCTAAATGGAACAATTGAGTGTTTTTTAATACTTTGTGGACTTAATTGACTCATCGATAAGTATGAGGACCAAATTGACTTTTTGACAATAGTACATGAACCTATTTGACAGTTATCCCAAAAGAATTGCGAAAGTTCGCGAAATAGGAATAAAATAGTTTCAAAATTTCAAAATAGGACTGTCATGTTTTTTATTCCCAAAATAGGATTAATTACTGTCATGTTTAGAAAATATTGACATGTTTGAAGTCTGGTACTGCTAAAACATGACAGTAATTAGTCATATTTTGGGAATAAAAACATGACAATCCTATTTTGGAATTTTCAAACTATTTTAGTCTTATTTCGAGTAATATCTCAAAAGAATTACTTTGAAAGTTTTCTCAGAATATTTTTTTGATAATTTTTTTCATAGAATATTATGAAGCGAAGTACTATTCTATCAGTGCTCCAGCACAAATAAAATTAAAAAAGGCATTTAAAATTGCTTAAGAAAAACAATTTAATTATGAAGAGTGAATAAAACAACACTACGATCTTCTTAATAGATAAAAATGAGACCTCATTTTTATATGAAAAAAGAGAGACTAAATGAATATGAAAGGATATTATTACCCATAATAAAAAAATGGCCTTGTTTGATAATCGACTATTAGTTGTTAGATGGTTATGACAGCTGATCGGCAATAGTTGATTGTGTCAACTTTTTTAGTTGACTGATTAGGTTAGCTTGTTGTAAATTGTTTGGTAAATTGTCTATTTAATAATAATTGTTTGGTAAATAATTGTCTATTTAATAATAATTGTTAATAGCTTGATTGGAAATGTTTGGTAAATTGTCTATTTAATAATAATTGTTTGCATGTAAAAAGACATATAGCCATATAGGGACATTAGTATTTTATTTTTTTAGCTTTGCTTGCATAAATAATACGTAGTATTACGTACATTTAGTTACAGAGTATAAATCATTCAAATTTTAGAAATTGATAAATACAATCGCATGAGAAATAAAACAAATTAAAATAAACATTTTTAATTCTTACTCCGTAAGAATTAAAAAATCAAGTTTGTTTGTAATTAAAAAACTAAATAAACTTTTTGTTTGTAATAAAATCAAGTTTAATAAACGCTGCATGTAAGCAGTAGGATGCACATGTGTGCACTAATGGGTGAACTGTGAAGGCAAAAAAAGGCAAAATTACCGAAATAGGACTAAAAAAGTTTGACAATTCCAAAATAGGACTGTCATGTTTTTTATTCTTAAAATAAAACTAATTACTGTCATGTTTAGAAAATACTGATTGAAGTTTGGTACTGCCAAAACATGACAGTAATTAGTCATATTTTGAGAATAAAAAGATTGGCAATTCTATTTTGAAAATTTCAAACTATTTTTGTCCTATTTCAACTAATATTCTCCAAAAAAGGTGCGATGTTGACCAAAAAAAGGTGTGCTACTATTACAGTATTACAGAGGGCATAGAAGGAAGAAATGGACCAGCCAACCCAAAACGCTCCACTTGTTGTCGTTTTCATTTTTAGCTGATTGGGTTCAACAAGCTGTGATTGGGTTCAACAAGCTAAATTAACCCACCATTTACCAAACAAACAATTTAGCAGTTTAGATGGTCAAATTCATTAATTGTGGTCAAATAAGCCAAAAATTGGCTGATAAGCCATTTTCCAAACAAGGCTATTATCTTAAATCACGAGCTTATAGTAGCTGATCTCTTCGCATCACACGGTGAGCGAGCGATGAACACATCCGTCATCTCCGACGGACACATGCGCCCATCCGCCAACCCCATTACCAGATTTGAACCCGACAGCTAGGGTTTCTCGCTAGAGTCGAGCATGGTAGGGAGGTGGTGGGGTAGTGCCTGGCCGGTGGCAGGGGATGCGGTTGGGGCAAGGCTAGTAGGTGATGGCGGGACAGTCACTGGTTGCACAAACCATGGTGGAGAGCCGTAGCGCTGAGCGGTGGCGGTGACGGTTGAGGAAGTGGTGGTCACCAGCAACCATGACTTATTCAAACTTCTTTCTCGTGGACTTTTAGCTCACTTTTAGTACAATAATTCTTTACAATTGTCTACTCTTATCACCAAATATTTTCGTGAAACTTTTCTTTTGTTTATACTTGTCACAAGTGTGCATAGATTCGATTTCACAATCGGATTAGATTGATTGGACTAATTATTTACCTGGGATTACAAATCAACTAACCGGTCCTGGACAAGTACCGGGTCAGAAGGTGGGTATCAGGATGGTCTCAATATGCAAGGTTTGAAAATTAAATTCTGGTTTTTTATCCTTTTACGATAAATAAAATTGAACAAGAAGATTCTACAAGGAAAAATTAAAAAGTGATTTTATATATATCATCCTATGAAGAAAAATGTAGGGATGAGATCAATTCAGTTATTGACAGAAAATTAGGAACATTTGAAGAACCGTTAATACAATATTGATTCAGTTCCAGATTGTTTTTCAAGAATTGATATAAGAATCAATAGTATCAAATTGGTGCAATTCTTGTATTTCGTAGATCAGTTAACCGTTAAGAAATAAAAATATATTTAACCATTACTTAATTACTTTGTTTCATCGTTATACCGCAAACACATAAAAATGTAATATCAAACTAATAAATATTTAACTGTAAATAGATAAACAAATTCTACTATTCTAACATGTTGAAAATGAAGAGAAAACAAGTACTACTATTAAGAAAAAAGTTCGATTGCACGTATGCTCATACGGTATAACGATTGTAGGAAAACTCCGACTACGGCAGCGAAATATAACGAGTGTGTAATATAACGGTTTGTTGATCATTCTTCCAAATTTGAGTTATAAACAATTGGCAGTACCAAACTTCAATCATATGTAGTTCGTCAGTCCATTGGCAGTACCAAACTTCAATAAATTGCCCCTTAGTCCCCCTTGTATAACTAAGGTCAGTCCATTGGCGGCGACAGCGAACTCCGCTGGCAAACTCCGGCTACGGCAGCGAAATTCTGCACTTTTTAAAAAGTATGAATTACACATAAATTTATATGAATTAACACTATTCATTCACAAAAAGTTTATGGATCAAAAGACTACGCGCTCTTTTAAAAGTCCATAGATAAAAAAATCACCACAATCCATATATAGTATACCCCTCATTTTGAACTTGAAAAGAGTGGTTTAGGAAGTGAAAACACTACTAAAATTTCTCTCTTCTTATATTAGTAGAGGCATTGACCATCAAATTTGACTTTTTTATGTTTTTAGTGTTGACATTTAGGGAAAATTATCATGAACATGATTAAAAGAGGTGGTGATTCATAAGATATTACTAAATATCATTTTTTCTCCCTAAATTAGTGATGTTTTATATTTATGGTATGTCTTTTGATCATCTTTTTTCTCTCATGAATTCAATTATTTCTCATATTGAGTCATGTTTAAATTTACTAATCATAGTAATAGAAATTTGTGATGGTTTTAGTCACATTAGGTGAATTTCCCAAAAAATTATTTGTGAAATTTGTTTGAAAAAATCTTTATATAAACTGACCCAACTTTTACTCTTGCCTAAGCTCCCACTCAGATTGTTATGCTTTTCAAAGAAATAACATGAAACAAAGTGTCTTATATTGAATAACCAGAATTTAGACAAGATATAAAAAGATAAAAAGTCCCTTTCCGACCGTCTGCCTTCGAACAAGACTCAGAGTCTACCACCTTCAAAAAGTAATATCACTCGATGATCATATAATGGGCTTAACTAAGTCAATGACGGACGCAATAGACCTTTCATCATCCAACCTAAACTCTAGAGTCCTGCTAGTAGAAATAAAGAAACCAACAAAAACAACATTCAGTTTGAAACGAAAAATAAAAACAAGAGCAAGATAAATAAAATAAATCTAAACTTGAAACAAAATCTTCCAAACTCTAACAACATGATTCCTCCACGTCGGCGGTGGGGGGGGACTGGCAATATACTGCATTTTCTTCCTCTCCTTTCTCCTTATTCATAACATTCTTTGCTACTGAGCAATCGAAAGTGTAGGAGAAGCCACCGTGTAGTCAAGTGTCGTACTGGTTAACAATGGACTCCATGATTTCTTCTTGCCACGTTGAGCGGTTGAAGACGACGCTGCGAACAAAAAACAAAGCATGCGCGTCGCGCGAGGCTGAAATCTCCTAGCCGCACAAAGCCTAGATTGGCCGGCAAAACAGAAACCATGCGACACAATAAAGCAAGCCTGCACAATTCTGAAATTCTCTGACGGGCGGAAAACCAAACCCTACATGAGGGAAAGGTCGCGGGTCTTGACAAGAGCACAACGTAAAAATCAAAGCAAAAAAAAAAGAAACATGAACCAGCGGGAAAAAAACTCCTTCCGGCCGCCTAAAGCCGAAGACAGCAGCCATTATCTTCCCTCTCAACCCGATCGTTCGCTCAATCCACGTAAACCGTTTCTCCATATGCTGCGCTTTGAAACTCTGCTGCCCGCATCATAGTTGCGCTAGGGTTTTTTTCGACTCACGAATCTTGGTGTGTTGTTTAAAATGGCAGTATCTTGGTGTGATCTCATGAAAGTAACATATATAACTTACATAGTGCACTACTACTCTGTAGTATTTTAAGTATAATTGGTACTATCTCCATCCTATTTAAAGGTTTACATCCATTATCCTCCTATCAACGTAAATCGTTCTTAATCTTTTACTACGTGTTTCATATATCCAACTTTTATTAAATTTGATTTTTTTACTATTTTATAAAAAAATTAATGTAATTTCCGAATATGTAAGTTTTATTTACTGAATTTTTTGTATTAATGACAGATTTTAATTAATTTTATGATAAGTCAAACATCATAAAACATGTGAGAACCTTCAAATGCGACAGAGAATGTACACTTGTTTATTAAAGTATGAGGAAGGCGAGTT